CTCTCTCTCTCTCTCTCTCTCTCTCTCTGCACGATGTCCACTCCCCCGATGTCTTACAGCCATATCATCTCCTGCCCCAACCCCCCCAAACCCCCCGGCCGCCGTCAGCTTGAATTCCAGAGGTGAGCTCCCATTATAGTGAGCGAGGCTGGGGGGGTGTGCTGGGAAAGGTTCTACACGCCCCGGGCGTCTGCTTTCTGTAACCCAATACTGGCCGGCCTCTCTCTAAAACATCCAACATTATATTTCATTTATATCTAGGGCAATAAACTACTGACATACACACACACACATATATGTATATATATATATATATATATATATATATAGATATATATATATAGTGCTGGGGAAATAAACGCGTTAATTTTTGTGATTAATTTGTACATCTTGACGCGTTAAAAAAAATTGAAGACGAGGGACTGAAAGAAGTAATTTGAATTGCGTCAGGAGATTCATTTTATAATCTGCCATACAGAAGAACTATTACAGTAAAATCCCGTTATAGTGAACTCGCTTATAACGGAATATCGTCTATAACGGATGAGGTCCGCTGGTCCCGGTGTTCCGGGCACCGGTCGTGCACCTTTAAGAACATGCAGAAAAAGCATCGGATATAGCGGACTCGCATATAACGGAATTTCACTTATAAGGGACAAACAATTTAGTCCCCATGGCCGCTTTTAGCTGTAGTTTTGTTCGGCTATAACGGACATGCAGCTCCGCCTATAAGGCGCGTGGCGTGTCGGTGATATCCAACGCAGCGCAGATACGGAGTCGGGATTATTAATAGTCACGCATCTGGTCAGGTAAAGTTGGATTACTACATGTACAATATAATAATATATACCACAAGTGTGTCTGCTGGGGTGTGGCATGAGTAAATGGTGTCCTGTAGTTGTGTTCTGGGCATACAGAAACTCTGGGTATAACGGACTCTGGATATAACGGACTGTTTTGCCAGGTCCCTTGAAGTCCGTTATAACGGGATTTTACCCTATGTCTAGAATAATCACTCTATATGAGAACGATAGGGCACTGAAAATGAGCATGTTAGAGAGAACTCAGTACGTTGCCCTAACTGGGAATCATAGGACATCTGTAAGTAATGACAACTACCTTGGTGTCACCGTACAATTTATTGATGAAGAGTGGAATCTATTGTTATTTGCATAAACTGTGAGCAAAACTACTGTACGTAAAAGTAAAATGGTGACTGTTCAGAATTACAATAGCTGATCTGATGATAGATTAGTTTTAAGTTTCAACTGCTATGTTTATGGAAACTAATTTAATTGTGTGTTTTGATGGGTAATACAATGGCATCTCTTCTCAGTGAAGTCTGTTTATTTAGTTATCACTCAGCTTGATACTTGTTTGCAACAAGTGTAAGTAAAGAATTTTAGTTTTTTCACAGGTTAATTCATTAAAATGTAAAATCTAAAATATGACGCTCCTGGGTTTATGTTACAGAAAAATTTATATATTTCAATTGTTATTGTGTAACTTTACATTTGTAAATGTTAAGAATTTTGTGCGATTAATCACGATTAAATACCGAAAACTCTGTGATTAATTAGTTCAATTTTTTTAATCGATGCACGGGGACTATATATATATGCGTCTTTTTTATGTTTTTATTTTGTTGCCATTTATTGATTTTTCTGTGTGATTCTCATAAATAGGCTCCGTGCTTCAGTCTTGGTTCAGGTGCCCCTCAGATCACTGAACTCGCCTGATGCATGACTGTCTGTCACTTACGTGATCTTTACTCTAAGAGCTTATTTTGCATTCCTCAGAATCACAGTGCAGGTGGAGCAGCACTTCCTAAATGTCACTTTATGTGAGTCTCCTTTGCTTACAGTTCACCCTGCCTGACTTTAAGATTAAAGAAACCTAAGCCACTGTTGATGATCCATTCTTATAACTAACATTTTACACTTTATCAGTAAGATCATCCAATTTTAAGTGCTCAAAGCAACAAAATGCTGAAGATACAATTGTTTTTAAGACAATCATTATACCACGTCATTGTAGTCATTCTGACAGAATATTGGCAGAATATTAATCTTGCAGCTGAATGCAAACTTCAGTTGTGCACAAATGTGTGGGTAAACTTGCCATTCAATGTGTACAACAGCTTCTACAAACCAGCACATTATTGCAATAGAAGCTGAATGCCAGGAATCTTTCAACAACAATCTAAGCAAAAAAGAGGAAAAGAAAAAGCACGAATAAGAATTTTAGGTTAATTCTAAGTATTTACTAAGTATCTAAGTTTCTAAGTAAGTATCTAAGTATAAGTACACAGGTTGTGTATCCTTATCGCCAGAGACCATCAGCCTGTCCATACACAGGTTGGTTAGCCTTACTTTCAGATACCATCAGCATGTCTGTACACAGGCTGTGTAGCCTTACCGCCAGTGACCGTCTGCCTGTCCGTACACAGGCTGTGTAGCCTTACCGCCAGTGACCGTCTGCCTGTCCGTACACAGGCTGTGTAGCCTTACCGCCAGTGACCGTCTGTCTGTCCGTACACAGGCTGTATAGCCTTACCGCCAGTGACCGTCTGCCTGTCCGTACACAGGCTGTATAGCCTTACCGCCAGTGACCGTCAGGCTGTCATAATGTTGTGGTGCTGACCCCTGCTTACGACCCATTACTTTGTCTACCAAGGGCTGAATAATAACATGCATGACTTGGTATGAAGGCAATAACTGTGCATTGCATGACATGAGAGAAGCTTTCAAGGCCAGTTTGAATACAGATGTCTGGAGTCAGTTGAAACTCTTGCTTCACTAGACAAGACAATCACTAAGTCTTGCCATAAGGAAAGTCAGCAGATGATAGTGATGTGGTGGGAATGGCAATATTACTGAGCTGATGGGTATGTCAGCCAGGGGTACGTATGATCATCCACAGCACTGAGATTTTAATATAATTCATGTCGACCAGTCATCAAAAGAGATACGTCAAAAAGCAAAAAGGGAAAAATGCAGAGCATGGAACCAGGAACAAGTGCCATTCTCAAAGCAACTTTGAAAATGGTTCATTCATTCTGAACAATTTCTTTCTATCTGTACTGTTTCTTAACAAAACAGAAGAAACACGGCTGTTCAAAAACCCCTATCTTACACTTTCTGGATGTTTCTCTGACTCGTTTGCTTCTCGGCATCCGGAAAGTTGCCTCCACATCTGGAATGCTGCCCCGAGGACACCCATTTATTACTTTAATAACAACTTGTGACTATACAGGTAAGTCTGCATCCCTGAGGGCAAAACTGTACAAATAAAGTAATTGTTCAAGTGGGACGTGAACATACACGTGAAGCTTTCTCGCTGTGTCTTGCTGGTTTGTTTTGGCAAGGAACAAGATCCTTGCGAACCCCCCCCCGCCCCCCTCCCACCCCCACCACATTCTTGGTTAAGATTTAAACAAGCTCTAATTTAGCTAACAGATTAAGTTACGCGGAAGGGAACATGGCCAGAGAAAGAGCTGATTTATGGGGACAATGAGCACCGACACGTAACGTTCATGCATGGATCACAGACCTCACTACATGATGGCAACATTGTCTGGCAATAATCTTGTTATTTGAATTAGGCTTCAGATTGTGTACTGAATAAAACTTCAGTGTAATAGGTTTCTGCTCATTGTATTTGATCTCCCAGGTGCCAGATGGCTTCTCTCACTGATCTTCTAGATCTTCTCTGTTTACGCTGTTCGTCGTCAGCGGTTTGGCAATCGGTTCCTGTGGTAACTCCACTCCAATGGCATGCTTTTTTTGAATGCAGACCTGAAAAGGCCTGTTCTACTGGTTTTATTTCAAGTATCATGTGGGACTAAAGAAGATCAAACAATTTGGTGCTAGCATAGGAAGTCTTATTACGATCATGGTAGAAGGTTCTTATGGTTAAGACCTGTCTCTCACTCAATTGCCATGTTCTGCCTTAGTGTTCTGACAGCAGATGGAGATGCTTCCTGGTTTGTGACAAAGCAGCCCCCCCTAAAACAACAGCAACGGGCAATCCGGGCTGAGATTAGTTCAGAAAAAATTGTGGTGAATCTGGCTAATGCAGCACCGTTTGGAGAATGGATCCCAACACCTCTTTGAAATCCAGGGCTCGTGTTTCAGCCAAATGGCCTGTATTTTTGTAGACATATGATGCCTCCAGGAAGAGACAGAGCAGACTTTCGAGCGTCGTGGCTATTTTAACTCAGGTGAAAGAGGCTGTGGTTTGATTCTGCTGTTTTTATGTAGGTCTCATCAAATAAACTTTTTTTCTTTTTTTTTTACTAATAATATGAAAACTATTGTTGAGCTCTCAGTTACCAAATTAAATCAAATACTGGGTTTCTGTCAAACCACAGAAGCTAGCTGGGTGCATAGCATGTATTGGTGGCCAATAAAGAATCATGTCAGGTTTGTGGATGTTGAGGTAAGGGATAAGTCAGCCAAAAGTACTATAGGCATTAAAGTCAATGACCTTAAAATTTTTTTAAAAAAACATCTGGTGATACATACATTTTAAATATACTTCTAAGGAAAATTGATGTTAATTAGCAAGTAAACCATATGAATCAATATCCACACATGAATTTGTTACATATAGCTAACCACCTATACAACTGTATAATTATCTAATGGTGTACAATGCAGGTTTGAGGATCTATTAAAAAAATTGATTTATGTAACAGTCATTTACTTGAGATATTTCTGCCAACAAGTAAAAATTAAAAAGCTGACTACAAGGAAGTGCTGTTGCAACTTCTGCCACTAGAGGTCTCCATAAGTCAGCATAGGTCAATAAGAGGAAGTATGTGAATCTACATCCTGTTTTCTTTTCTTCCATGTAGCTAAAAGCACAGCACATTATAAGTATAGATAAACAAATTCCTGCATTACTCAGTTAAAAAAATAAACACTGAAATGAAGTGGTTACAACT